AGTGACAGGAAAACAAGGACATGGAGTTCCAAGACAGCTCTCCAACCCCAGCCAGCCCCATACCAATGTCAATACAGCTGCTGGAGTGTTGGTTGTAGCCCTGTTGGTCTAAGGAGTGAAATGTCCTGTGAGAATATAGGAGAAAAGACCAAAGGAAGTGCTTAAAATATATCATAAGAGGCCGACATTATCATCTCCATATGGACAGGTGACACATTTATTAAGCAGTAAATTGACTTTCTGTAGAATATGCAGGGAGGACACATGACTCTCATCTTACGCTGGTGTAAATCTCTCTAGTGTGGGGTAGAGTTGCCTCTCAGAAGAGGAGGTTATGCCAGTATAAGGTACACTCATGTACAACACATGTTCAGTTCCCTATTAAACTTCATCCTAGGGCAGCCCATCCACCCACTGGTCAAGAACTGCAGTAGTGCCTACTGTGGGCAGCCAGCTTGGGAGAACAGGTCATGTATCTGGTCCTTACTATGGATAAATTTACACTGGAATAATATTCAGGCTAGATGACTATAGTAATTATGTTGTGTGTCCATGCCCCATGGCTTTTGTGAGGTATCATCATCTGGGCTTTACAGCTCACAGTCTAGGTGTGTGTTACCTTGGAGGGAAGAAACCTAGACTAATCAGAGTGGAGACAGCAGTTAGGCTTCTGCTACACGTTGCATGTATTGTGCAAATTTACTGGTTAATTGCACAATAAATTTAGACTGGCCACATGTGTAGAGTAATTATCATACATTTAACTGGTTAATCACGTGATAAATTTAGACAACCACACTTGGAAAGTAATTATCAGGCAATAAAAATGACTGTTCGGCTGTATAAAAAGAGCTAACCAGCTACAAAGTTAGTGCCTGAAAATGTGTAACAATGCTAGAGCTGGTTTCTAACAGGCTTTAATTTGAACGCGTAGTAGAGCCCTGAGATTCAGGATCATTCAGAACATAGCACACATGTTGCACTTAAAAACAGGATTTTAAACCTAGTGCTTTAAGAATTGATACAACACCCGATTGATTAATAGCAGAAATGCTTGCTTTAATAACTGCCAACAAGCTACGAAACAAAATGACAGAAAAAGACTCTTTCCCAATATAAAATATTACAGAAAGTCCCAGTGTTTTCTCACCAACGCAGGCAGGGAAGCTGGTCTGGTCTTGCAGTGTTTACTTGTGGTCTGGGTGCAGTATGGCTTCTTGATCTTTTCTGGACTGCGTGCCTTGCTGGCAGTTCTGTCTTGCTGCTTATATTATTTAATTGTATAGCTTCAAAGCATTTTCCGTGATGGTTGGCTGATTAAAGTCCGAACAAAACAGGGAGGAAAAGGTTGATCATCATATTACAGTTGTTAAATTGCCTGGCTCCTGCTTTTCGATTTGTTTAGGTGTGAAGGCTTGTGTTTCTTGTCTCCCTGAAGTGATAGGTCAGTTAAATGTGATGGGCCTTGAGTGGTCAACTAGGATGTTTAGAGGCATTGGTTACTGGACCTGTCTTTGGGTATTTGTTTATCAATGGGGCAAGTTTGCAATAGCTTATACCGCTGATGGTCTATTTACAGAATTCCAGACATATATTGAATGATTGAGACATTTTTAACACCTTATTCATTGGATGCCTGTTTTGAAAAAATGTGAGGATGTCACGTACAGGACATTTTCCCTGTATAATATGCACCTTTTGCAGGTTTTGCTTGAAATGTATATTTAATTTTTTGTTTTCATTAGTTGCTAGTTCAATTGAAATGTATATGTAGTTTCCTTGCCTTCTTTAGTTACATTGGCTCAGCCTTGTTCTCTGGCTTCCTTAGCTTGGAGATGCACATGATGACTATGTCAGGTCTCTGCTAACAATTTTAACTACCACTCTTATTATTTTATGGTATGGGTCTGGTATTGGGTACCGCAAACTCTTCTCTCTCTTCTGCCTAGTGGGTTGCAAGCCATTAGCGGAGTTTGATATTCTTTGTGGCAGGCTTGTTACCACAACCCAGTCTTGCCCCAGCCACTATCTTGCATTTTTGTGCAGCAGACACTGCCCAAGCTTTCATAGCCAGCACACAAACTTGCTGGATTTCCCTCCAGCTCCAAACAGCTGAAGCTTCAGCGTGTGGTGCATGATGCAGCCTCCCCCTAGGCAGCCAAAGGAACAGGGCTGTCGCCTGCAATGAGCAGATCGTTACAGCAATTCCAGATGTGAAACGTGTCTCTTCCTTTGCAGCACTCAACGGGGGCAAAATCCTTAGGATTCTCTATGAAGAAAATGATGAGTCAGAGGTGGAAATCATTCATGTCACGTCCCCCCTGTTGGAGACCAGGCGGACAGATTCCTTCAGGTATCCCAAAACAGGTGAGGCCTTGCTGTTTCCTTTTCCTTCTGCCTTCGGCCCTCCCCCACAAGTGACTCCCTTGTGGCCCATGCTGATGGTGTAGGATCCTCACTGCTAACCCAGTGTTTTTGGTTGCTGGCAGCATGCTACTCTGTCTGTACTATTCAGGAAGCACCTCCCTATGCTCTCTTTATCTTCACAGCTCTGGGCTTCAGGGTGAAAAAACATGTATTTTTTACGGCTTTCTGCTGGGCTGCTGGCAGTGCCTTTGTAATTGGGGGTGGGAGGTTGGGGAATTCTGGAAGGATTTACAAGGTTTGAAGCAGTGTAGACCACTCAGTCCCATTTTCAGCCATGACTTGGGCACAAGGAGCCTAAATCCCATTGACTTTCATCCTGAAGTTAGTTCTTAGCAGCCTGGTTTACTTGGGCTGTGTAGCACTGAGCAGAGCAAAGGCTAAAAACCTTTAGAAACAGGACCTTGGCCTCAGGGCCTCAGTTCCCCATGGGTAGAGGGGGAAAATAGTACTGCCCTGCCTCATGGTGGGGGCATGGTAAGATATACATGTGAAAACTTGGGAGGTGTTCAGATACTGTGGTATTGGGAGCCATATAAGCCCCTGAAGTTGGTGCCTGAGGGTTTGGTGGCTTTGTGGTACGTTCTCCAGCTGGTTTGATCAGATCTCTGTCTTCATTGTAGCCAGACAATATCATCTAGTACAGGGGCAGTTACCAGAATTCTGCCTGCTGTTCCGGGTGGGAAGATATGAACCCTCACATCCTTTGCAGAGGTGTCTGTCATGCGTCTGTAAGGCTGATGCATTGCATTTTTTGGTGCTCATCCCTAATACAATTCAGCTTTTTTTAAAAGGTCCTACCTGGCCAGTTCCTACAGGGTATGTTTTTAAGGATATAGCATTGGGAGGTAATGCTTTCTGCTGTAGAGTGAATTGATCTGTATCTGTAACCCTTAATCCCCCCTTCTCAAAGAGAAAAAGACTAACATCAGAACTTTTGAAATGGTGGGACCATTAAGAATGAAGAGGGCTACTTATAGGAGTAAACACCAGGGTCAGTAGTAATACTGACCCTGGCACTTACTCCTGTAAATAGGTCTCTTAATTCTCCAGAGGCTACTTTTGTCATCAGGCACTACTCTGTTAGTATATTTGTACAGGATTGGGCCTCAAGGGCCTTTGTTTATTTTAGCCCCTTATGACCTGACCTGAATTCTACCCCTTTTACCCCCAGCAGGATGGGGTTAATTAATCACAGAGCAGTCTGTTGCTTGCTTTCTGTTCAATTTGGGGTAAACATCATTGCTGGTGTTTGGAATATGGGTGTATCTTCCTGAAAGCAAACTGTGTGATTGTTGATGTCTTTTTTTTTTATAGGTACAGCGAATCCAAAGGTCACCTTCAAGATGTCCGAAATAACAATTGATGCTGAAGGAAGAGTAAGTTTTAATTTTCATTTATTTTCTAAATCGATTTGACATTTGTGACTCCTTTCTAAAATTAGGATCTTCAGTTGACGCAAAAAAACCTGCTGGGCACACAAAGGGTATGGGGGTGATCTGTAGACTACTGTTTCAAACAGCCTGGTGCAGTGGTGATGTGTAGGGGGTGCACGTGCACCCCCTAAGAGCTCTAGTGCACTCCCTGACTGGCCACACACTCGCTGCTTAGGCAACAGGCAAGGGGGGCAGGTGGGAGTGCCGGTGCCCTCCCTGCAAGCGCCGGCCAGGGAGTGGGAGCACCGTGGAGCTCCCAGAAGTGGCCGCAGCGATCCACCACCTTGTGATTGGCTGCAGGAGGGTCTCCCTGCCCCCCCTCCTGTCGCTGAGTGGTCGCTGGGGGGGGACATGTGCCCCCTCTGACTAAGGCAGAACCAGTCACCCGCAGCCTGGTGTAATGTCAGGAATGCAGCAAGCAAAATATAGCACTGGCATCTCTCCTTTTCCACTCATATAGGGGGTGAAAGGTTTCAACATAGGGGTGGTATGTTTTCGACACAAGTGATCAGCATTCCCTTGGCCAACCCCCTGGTTAGTGCCTGGTTCAACATCTTCCTGAAGATGTTTTAACTGGGAAGAGAATTTGCTGAGCTATAACTCAGTTGCTGTGTAAATACAGTATGTGGGGAAATGAGTGTTATGCCCCCCCACTGTGTCCTGGCAGCTGGTGTAAGCTGTTCTAACTAATGTGAAGGTACCTTAACTCAGCAGGGTACAGGAGGAGCATGTGGTGTCTGATTAGGGACCTGTCTTCTCTGGGGACTTTGCCCATTGCTGGACATACCAGTGTACCTGCACTGAGGCCAACCTCTAATCTAGACAAGCCAGCTGACCCCAACCCATGAAATGTACAAGTGGGGCTTTTCCTCACTTCAGGCAGGGGTCACTGCCTCAGTGCACACCGCTGCAGACTGGGGGAATGAGACCTGTGGAGGTACAACCACTCACCCAGGCTCATTTCATAAGCTCATGACAGGGTAGGGATGGGCCTTGCATCTCCTGACACCCAGTCCATCTTTGCTTGGGTGCTGATGGGGTTTGCAGCCTGGCAGCTGCCTCGGAGCCCAGCCTCAGTGGCTGTAATGGGATTGAATCCCTCACGTTTGTGAAGGCCAGGGGTAAAGATGCAATTCCTTTTGAGCTGCAGTGGAGGACAACCTTGACCATTCGCGTGCAGAGACCTGTTTCTTCAGCACGTGCTTCACCATTTCTTGATGTTGATTGCTGTTGTTATCAATAGATTGCTGATGTCGTGGATAAAGAACTAGTGCAGCCATTCGAGATCCTGTTTGAAGGAGTAGAGTATATTGCTAGAGCGGGATGGACTCCAGAAGGAAAATAGTGCGTATGTTAATCCTGTCTCTGCTTAGTGGGTTTGGGACAATGCAACTGGAAACAGATAGTCCCAGCCCCTCTTTTCACTCTGGCACATGCTTGCTGTGATTATCACAGTGCTCCAAATGTGTTTGTGCAAAGGGGACATTTTCCCAAACCACAGCATCCTCACTCTGGTGCGTGTCTGGTTCCATTGCCATCACCTTGTAGCCTGTGATTCAGTTGTCCTCACAGTGCCCTTGTGAGGTAGTGCAGCGCTTTTATCCCCATTTGTAAAAGTGAGACCCAGAGAAGTTAAGTGACTTGTCCAGAGTCACACAGGAAGTCTGTGGCTGAGAAAGGACTTGAGTCCAGGTCTCCCAAGTCCTATGCTAGCACCCTAACCACTGCAGCAGACTAACTCATCAGAAATCCCACTGTAACACCTACATGTTATTTTTAACCCTGTAAATAGGGCCACATGCCTAACTCCTCACAGTGTGGTGTTGGACCACTGGCAAGCCCTGAGGTTTCGTCGTCATTTCTTTAGGCAACTGATAAGCACTCAGAGATCCTCAGATATGTTCTTAAATTTCAGTTGGAAGGCATTTGCTTCCTTGATCCTTCTAAATTTTCTGTTCTGAAATCCTCCTCCCACTTTGTCTCTGAAGCACAATCCAAATCCAAGAACATAAGAACAAAACAGACTTTTGAACCCACTGTATTTTTATGGGGTTGAAATTAAAGCAGGACAGGTTCCTCCATCTCTGTTGAGGAGCCTGCCTGACGCCTTGAAACTTTGAGGGAAATATTTGCTTTTCCCTGCCCAAAGTTAAATTTATCTTTTCCCTGGCTCTAAAATTGATCACTGTTGTCCCCATCAAAATGCACAGTGTTCCTGAGTCAGGTTCTCTCAGCTGTCTGATCCTGAGTAATGATGCAGGATTTTCCTAATACTTTGTTTTTCCTTTGATAGTGCCTGGTCCATCTTGCTGGACCGCTCCCAAACACGGCTTCAGATTGTGCTGATTCCCCCTGCATTATTTATCCCAGTAGAAGATGATGCTATGGAAAGACAGAAACTTATAGACACCGTGCCCGACTCTGTTACACCACTCATTATTTATGAAGAAACAACAGATGTCTGGATCAATGTAAGAATTTGGGGTGTAGCCTCCTACATAGGGTGTGGACCTGCCCATAGTGCTCACATGGGATTAATGCTGTTTGTATTGCTTCACTCCCAGAAACGGGATAAAGACCCATTGTGCTCTTCACTGTACATATTCATAGTAAGAGAGTCTCTGACCTGAAGTGCTGAAGGGTTAGATCCTGTTCTCCATATTAGGTGCCTGTGGGTGATGCTGGTCCCACCCTGCTGAAGTCCCTGAAAAAGCATGAATGGGTCTATCAATGTAAGATGCTTTTATTTCAACCTTAAGACTGAGTTGCACACAGCATCAAGGAGGAGGAAGACCTTCCTGCCTTTTGTGTCAGTGCTTTCTTCAGGCAGTCAAGCAGGGCGCAACAGGATTAGACTTAGGCACCTTTAAATAGGGTGGAGTGGGTGAGAAACAGAGGTCCAGAGTAGGGGAGTGGCTTGTTGGAGGTATGCAGCACACCCCTGGCAGGGACCCAGGTGTCCTGAGCCCCAGCACTGGCCCTACCCCCTGTATATTGTACATAGCCTCATAGCTGTGCAGTAGATTTGGCCCCCTTCATGTGAAGTTGGTGCCTGGCAGCA